TGAAGGATCGAGACAAGGTCGAGCAAAAACAAGAATCCCAACAAGCTAACACTGTTCATGATGTTAGCAATGGAGATTAGGGAAAAAGAGGGGGCAATTGATTGTTTCTCGTTGGGGTGAGAAAAAAACCAAAACAATGATTAAAAAAATTTAAAAAAAACTATAAAAAACCTATTATAATTAAAAAAAAAACTGACTGGTTTAGTTCGGTTTCCATTTTACAAGTCTAAAATAAAAAAAAGCGAATCGAACTCAAACAAAAAAAGAATTAGAAAAAAACAAGTTAAACCAAAAAAATCAAGCCAAACTAGTTTGAATTGATTTTAAAAAAAAATGAATCGAAACTGGTTGGTTTGAACCGGTTTTTTAAAATTTAATTTAGTTATTTTTTAAAATAAAAACCAAACTAAACCAAACCAAAAAAAAATAATCACTTCTAATTTCTCGTGATAACAATTTACTATTTTAAAAAAAGCAATAAACTTTTTATTGGGATTAATACAATTTTGTTAGAGTTTATTCATTATTATAATATTAACTAGCAACAATTTCATCTTTTTATATTTTAAAAATATGGTATAATAATTAAATTACTTTTAAAAAATAAATTTTTTCAAACTGATTTTTTGGAGTTTTTTTTATATATTCATAACGTTTTTTTAGTAATTATCAAATTGATGGCAAGATAATTTGTTTTTTTTAATAAATATAAATATTAATGTAAAAACAAATTAATTTTTAAATTTGTTTAGGAATTTTTGAATGTGTTAAAGTTAAAATAAATTTAAAAATATTATTTTAATAAAATCTTCAAACAAAAAATGTCTTCAAAAATAATATACTCCAAAAGTCGCGGGATGCTTTCAGGTGTTGCCCCATTTCTTTAAAATATTGAATACTTTTGTGACTGATACATTTAACTTTTATTAATTAATTTAGCTATTATTATTTTAAACTAACAAGTCAATTTCGTCTTAATTAATTATTCTTTTTAATCCTATCTTGTTTTGTGCCGATTCTACTTACTTTGTTTAATTATGAAAGTTATTTCATAATTTCCATTGCAAGTTCATATTGTCCACTCTTGTTTAACCCTAGTGCAGACGCTATTACCCTAGGATCTAACCACATGTATGGTGGATATCAACCTTCTTTTGCATGATCCACACGATAAATAGCAGGTCGGAAGCTGATAATTAATCATCCCGAGTTGAGTTAGGCTTGAGCAGGTTCATTCGCTAGCTAACCCTTTAATCATTTATCCTCCTTTTGCTATAGAAAATGTCTGGTTGTAGCTGTGGCTCTGACTGTAAGTGCGGCAGTGACTGCAAGTAAGCGCTATAATTTCTTTTCTTGTGAAGCTTTTACCAATTAGAAACATCCAGTCATGGAGCAGGACATTGAACTGTTTGTTCAAACGTCAGAACATCCAGTTCAACGCTGTTTCCATGCCTTTTTGTCCCTTCAAAGATTATGAAAAGGGCACCATATTAGTTTCTTGATTTTCTTTTTTCTAGTTTCCTTGCCCTTCTTGAGACTATAGTCTGACACTCACCTTGCTGTTTTTGTGATTTCCTTGTACGTTGCAGATGTGGTATGTACCCTGACTTGGGTTCCTCAGAGAGCACCACAACCGAGACAATCATTGCAGGTTTTGCACCAGTTCAGATGTAAGTGTCACACAGCTGATATACTGTAATTGGTTTCATGCATCGAAGTCTTACTTGATTATTCTATATGCAAGAAAAAGGGAATTTAACTGATTCCCTGCTGCTGCTGCAGGTTCTACGAGAGGTCTGAGATGAACTCTGGTGCTGAGAATGGCTGCAAGTGTGGATCAAACTGCACCTGCGATCCATGCACTTGCAAATGAGAAAACGTGGGCATGCTCCAACAAAGTAGTTATTGTCGCCTATAGTAAACCAGGTGGTCAGTCCATGTATGCATATATAATTGTGCTTTCTGTAAATTAATAAAACAGCAAAGGGTTCCTTAAAATCCTTTCTGTAGGGTTTCATTTGCTGCTGTAATTTGATGGCTACTGATCTGTCTTGTGTGTGTGTCACTGCTTTGTTGGCTTCAACTTCCATGGTGATTGAATGAAAAATGCTTGATCAGTTTGTGCTTTAATGGTGTGCAAAGTACCTTTTCTTCTCCTTGTTCCCTCCAAGTTCATTTGCTTTGACCCTGTCGATTTGGCCATTCATCATGCTATGATAACATGGTAAAACATGACGCCATTGCAAGCATCATACTCTTGAATAAGAATTATATGTAATTTTCTCCTCTTATCAGAATACATTAATCAACATGTATTCAAGAATTAAAGATCCAGTAATCAAATCAAGTACAGCAACTAAATCTATTCATAACGTTGCGTAGTATAATTAAGAGAGCGAGAGATGATTATCATCAACATCAAACTAGTTCCTGTGGTGATATCATATCATATTCGATGCTATTTTTTATGTACATATTCATAGTTTTCAGACCCAAACGGATAAAAAAGCAATTGAATCATCAACTAAATTGGGCTTTACGAAGTCAATATCGTATATATTCAATTTAATTAAAAATCTAGCTCGAGTCAGGTTCCAGATTATGAATTTCTCGCATCAACCTGTCAGGTCGGATTTAACACACAGCTACGCAACCAAGTGAATCCAAAAGGCGCTTAATTTGCAAACCGCATGTTAGTCCTGTTCCAGAAGTGGAGATGCCACCCGCAAGTTCAAGGAACACAAATCTTCTTGGTTGGCATCATGTTTTGCAGTTTAGGGGGTGGTGGTTCAAGGATTTACGCAGGAATTCTTTGATGGGGAGTAGCTGTTTATATATATATATATATATATGCAGATTTTTTGTTGCGTCATGAGCTTCATGGAAAGCATGAAATATGCTGGTGTTTCAACTCACAGCTTTGGAGCTCTCTCATATTATCGAACTTGGAACCATTTTGTTTTTGTATTTAAAAAAAAAAAAAATTGAAATTTTTTTTATCATAAATTATTTTTTTCTTATGTTTTTTGTTTTAATATATTAATATCAAATATAAATTTTAAAAAACAAAAAAATATCATTTTAATTGAAATTTTTTATTTTAAAATTTTTTCTTGTGTTTTTTATTTTGATATGTTAATATAAAAAAAAATTAAATTTTTTTTTTATTTTTTTAAAATATTTTAAAAAATAATTGATATAAAAAACTAAATGAGCTCTTATTAAAGAATATAAACATCAATCAAACTTCAGGCGAGGGATGGCTATCTCATTTTGGGAGTCCATTTACTTATTTTCTCAATTATGCTAAGAGTGGTGGTAGTGTTATTTGTCTTAAAAATACTACTCTTAAATAAAGTTTCAAAATGTAATTTATATTATTTTTTAATATTTTTTTAAGTTAAAACTTTTTAAATTTGAATTCACACTAATTTGTATTTAATTTTTAAATAAAATAAGGGTGATAATATCCAATTTTATAATTACTTGGTTAATATAGCTTTGTTACCGTATTAAATAATTATTTAAAAAAAATAATTAAATTATTAATTAAAATCTTAAAATATAATTTATATTATTTCTCAATACTCATAAAAGATAATCATCTAATTTAAAAAGGAAATATAAAAAACACTCAACTAATCCAATGGTTAAAATCTTCCGCAGATTCTATGGTGGGTTAGTTCTTTGATTATATTTATTGAATTCATCACTTAGCTCTTAATGCTGTTGGGCTGGCATCACAATCAAAGATGTGAATGTGAATTTAATATGTTAGCTCGAATTAATTAGAGGTATTTAATTTTGTTTTTTATTTATTTTAAAATTTTATTTTTTAACATTAAATTATTTTAGAATTTACTTTTTTTATTTTTTCTCTTTGAACATGTGTTTTTTCTTATGATAATTATCATCATCACATTTTCTTTTAATTTCTGGTTCGTTGTTTAATTGAATTATCGTGGATTTTCCCTTAAATCACGCTAGAAATGCCCAAGCATCTTCTCTTTACATTGCAAAAAATCAGCTAGATGTATGGGCCATCCATCCATCCATTTTTATATATATATATATATATATATATATATATATATAAAAATTTATGGTGAAAATAAGTGTTTTGAGCTCTCCATTCTTTGTTAGAAACCGGTAAAAGCTAGATGTCAGAAAGAACGGTTAAAAGAAGCAGACATTTCAATAATATTTAATTAACTAAAGGTTTGAATAATAGATAATTGAAGCATGAATAATGTAACGAATATGGAAGAGAGCAAGTATTTATGTGTTTGTCAATAAATATTATTCCAAAGTATTTAATGAAAATTTTATCATAATAAGATTCAATTAATATGACAACCATGTAACCATAAAAATCATTTCAAACTATCCAAATTCAAGCTATCCAGCCAAATTCTACCAAATACTCGAATTAGATCAAATATTGTCAGTTATGAATCACGTACATGGGAGAAAGTTACAAATGTTTGAAAAAATAAAAGGCCACTCAGATAATTAAGGTAAGCTATCAGTTATTTTTCCACATGCAATCAAAGCTACAATTAATAAAATAATTAACATTAGAACACATATAAACACAATTAAAATTTGTATGGATTTGAACTTTTAAGCATTAAACACATATGAACCCCCTGCTCTTCTCGCCCCGATGAGCATAACACAAAGCGGAAGTCTGAAGAATCAAGAATTCTTAAGCAGATGAAATCCAGCAAGGTAAATTTCACCACAGAATTCAAGGCTTAATAGAGACAGGGAAAAATGATTTATCATGCACATATGAGGAGTTAATGTGGTGGTGAGCTGGGATCTTCCTCAATAATTTTGTCCTTAAAACGATACAGCCCACAGAATCTAACAAGAGGGAAATAGGAAGCCAAATTCATTCAATGGAGTTGAAATAAAGAAAAGGGTGTGATCCATGTAACACAGACAGTTAAGCCAAAGCAAGATTCGTGTTCTTGACCAAAACAGAAGTAGCCAGATAAGAGAATCAAAGCACAAAGCTAATGTATGAATAAACAGATAGAAGCATAGTCAACAAAAGATCGGTTATGGATTGCACGATTGCCTGCCTTGTTGAATATCACCAGTTTGTCCTCAAGGCAGTCAGTTAAGACAAAGCAAGATTAGTGTTATATACCGCCACAAAAAGACAAGGATAAAGACACCAGATCTAAAGCATGAGTAACTCAAAAGCTGCATATCTGACAAAAGAATTACAAATAATCAAGCAATCTCAACAAAGCTACCGCACTAAGCTACTTTCAATATATGGACACTGCTGTATTTTCAGAAATGAGGGGAGGCTAGGCAAGTAAGAACACAAGGGTCCGTGAATAATAATGCCAGGGAGAGCGTGAGGTATTACACAAATTACATCAGTAAAGGAGATAAGAATCTGAGAATGAAGAACCAAATAAAAGTTTCCTCTCCAACCACATTGAATTTCAGACATTACCAGAGTAGCAACTGTGTCAGTCTCACGTGCAAAAAACCAGGGAGAAATCTAACCTCTCAGTTCGTATGATTATCTTACAACCTCTTCTTGACTTGAGACCTGCAGAAGACGCCCCAGTTCTCTCAGTAATGACTAGAAAATTTGTAGGACAGTAGATAGTAGACCAAACGATTCAGTTATCATTCATTCAAAGATTTAATTAGAGACTAAAATACATCAGTATATTAATAGCAAAAGTCAAATGGATAAGCTAATTATGTATCAAGCACCTACACAGAAAAAAAGGTCCACGGAAAACTCGAGGTTCATTCCCTTGTTGGGCCGCAGTGTAGCTGAATTAAGGTGTGTGTAGCAGGATTCAACACCTCAACTAGTTCCACTCATGGAAACAATAAAAAGAATTAAATAAATAGTGCAACTGAGGCAATAATTTTACCTTAATTCTATTAATCAAACAATAGCAAAAAACTAGTTTTTTTTTTTCCGTGCTATGTTGTACAAACAAAGAATTTTTAAAACATCAATTTTTAAAACATTATGATGATAACCCTGGATGATATTTAAAAAAAAAAAATATTAAGATGCTAACACATTGGATTGACCAGAACCAACCATATTTAAATTGTGAAACTCTCAATCTGGGACATGAGTCTGTGATAACACCATGAAATTCAAATCAAAACAAATTAGAAAGTCAAATTCAAATTAACCAAATATTGAAGACCTCAAATAAAAGGAAAAAACATTTAATAAAAAAAATGACTCGAACAAATCTAAATCGGTGTCTCGCATTATAATGCGGCTCGGACCGGTGTTTTTAAAGAAGAAAGAAAAATTTGAGACTTGAATAATTGACCTAACAGGATCTATTATATAGAGTTAATTTAATAATATGATTAAAAAAATAACAATGAACAATAAATAAAAAGACATGAAATAACCCATGTCATTTTCAAAATTAGTGAAAAATCATATTAAAAAAAAAGAGTCCAATCTTCAAATAAATAAAATGCTAAAATATAAAATAGGAAAAAACATGAGTTTTTAAAAAAAAAATCAAGACTTTTTTCCTTATCTATATTGCGGGTTAAATATTTTTTTGTTATCTTAAAAAAATGTTAAAATGAATGGAGATGATGACAAACTGGATGGTATATATTTTTTAAAAAATAAATATTGAGCAATTAATTTAATTTAATTAAAAAGAAAATTCTTAAAAAAAAGCTAAATCAAATAAAAAATAATATAAAAAGACCCGAGATAACTCAAGTTATTTCTAAAGCAATGAGAAATTATACAAAGAAAAACAATAAAATTACAAATTTCAATATCCAATTAAATGAAATGTCCAATAATGAAACTGAAAAACATGAGTTTAAAAAAAAAACAATAAATAACCCAGATGAATCTTTTAATTATAGGTTAATCTCTCAAATTCACAACTTGTTGAATTCTAAACTCGAGGTCAATCAAAAAACTCAATTTAATATTAAAGGATGATTTAAAAAAATCAATTATAAAAACTTGTTAATGCTAAAAAATAAGGATAAAATCTTATACGTAAATATAATGAAAATTGTAAAAAAAAAAGAAAAAAACTCTAAAAACTATCCAATATAAAATAAATAGCAATTAGAAGATAAAGACTAAATCTAAAATAAAATAAAATTAATGGAGGATAAAATAAAAAAACAATTCAAACCTATAAATTAATTCAAATTAAAAAAATAAAAACCAAATATAAAGGGAAAAAAATGAAAGATTGTTGTGAAATGTTGCAAGGGCATGCACATAAACTAAGAAAGGAAAAGAAATAAAAAAAAAAAAACAACCACCATAAAACTCGATCGAAGTTAAGCAACATGCACCACCAGAAAACGGAAGAGTGGCTCAAAAAAACAATTCAAACTTATAAATTAATTCAAATTAAAAAAATAAAGACGAAAAAAAATTGAAGAGTTGTTGTGAAATATTCTGAAGGCATGCACAAAAACCAAGGAAGAAAGGAAAAAAAAAGAAAAAGAAATAAGGAAAGCCAATCTCGTCATTTGCTGGGGCCTTCCAGCAGCTTTTCCTTTTTTTTTTTATTATTTTTTTATTAATTAAATTACCAAATCACCCTTGAAACCATATGAATATTGCAAAAAAACAATGTAAAATCACGTATATGCCCTTAAAGCCAAGCTTAAGATTTTTTCAATTCCAAAGGCATTATAGCAGTTACATTGTTCACAATTAAAGGAAATTTCAATAAAGATTGCACTGTGCAAAAAAATAGGAAAAGACTGCATACTACTGAACAAATATAAAATTAAAAATGAATCTAGCAAAAAAAAAAATCATTTCACCCCAAAGACAGCATGGAGTGATTTTTTGAAAGGCAAAACATCAGTTCACTGTTATAATTCATAGTGAATGAATTAAAGCATAGCTACAGTGGTTTTCCCACCCCAAATTTGTTCGGTTAATTCACTCACTGTTTGAAATAAAGTGAACTCAAAAGGCATGGAACTATCACAAATGTTCTATATAATGACTTCGTGGTCCAGTGCATGAGAGGCTCCCCTTCATTTAACATAAAAGAATAAATGCAAACATCCCGTAAGGTGCACAGTGCAACACTAGCATATTCCAGTCATTTAATTCGACCTTGTCTAGTTTAGGTTGCCAAACAAGGCTAACAATCAGAAACAGAACTGATGGGCTGAGAAAAATCTCCTTATATTGAAAGAGTTGTGTCAGAATTACCTCAAATCACAAATCAACTACGATTTTTTTCCCGTGAAAAGCTGGAAGATCCGGAGGCCCCTGCTGAATGCCTCGTTGAAGAGGATCCTAGTCTGCATTGATTGGAACCCAGGCATCCATGACAAAAATGCCACAGGGACCATAACTATTACCCCAAACAATATATCATATAGCCGAGCCACAGAAACCACTGCTTCCCAAAGTATAGCGGGCAGGAAGGGGCGGAGTACTTGGGCAATCAATAAAATGCCCCATCCAGTGGGGATAAAAGCCAACAAACTTGTGAAAACATCAGTAAATTTGAAAGATGTAAACTGAAGCAGGGCTATAATCACAAAGATGCCAAGCACAATGATCAGAAACTGGACCATCCGATAGTAGATGTGTTCTTTTGCAGCATACTTGTTCCGGGCATATGCTACCATCAAAAAAAACCCGAAGGCGACAACTACATAAATCCAAGAAAGCATGTAAACAGCAATGCTAGTACTTCCAGCAGCAATACCTAGTTGGTATACGATCCCATATTGAAAAAAGAAGAAGCGAAGGTCCAATATTACATCCAGTAACTTTCCCCAAAGCCCAGTTGTCCTCAGATGATCCTGCTCCTCATACCACCATCTTTCCCAGCTCTGTTCAGATTTTGCAAACACACCACCTTGGTACCAAATCCAGTTCATAAAATCATCGAAGTCGTATACTGTCTTCAACCAATCAAAGCCAGATGGATTGAAGACAAATGGGGCCATTATCCACGACACAACCAGGAACCAACTAGAGATGGTCATTGCTATATAAACAAATGTGTCCTTAGCTACAGGGCTGTATGCTGCATAAACTACAAGTATCAGTCCAAGCTCAATTGCCTTCACAAAATGGCTACGAGCATAAAGCCTGTAATTCTCTGCAAAACTCTTGTGCTGCACAACAAAACCACGCCCAGTTGCCCGATATTTTGCGCCACCATGGAGGATGGTACGGCCAAAGTAGTGTGTCCGAGTTCCCATAGAGAATGTGTAGAAAACAGATGAGAGCTGGAGCTGCATTGTCAAGAAATCCCAGATAGCTTCGAGAAACCCGTGCTCAAGAGAGTTCTCCACTATCATCGGAAGGGCAGTGAAGAGGCCAAGTTGGATGATGAATTGCTGATTCAAAATAGCACCAAGTGCCTTATTGTTACTGCTGTTGTCGGCCAAAGCAGAACCCTCAACACCGCTAAGAGCCAGATAAAGACGGCCCCACAGAAATGCATACACAGTCAGAATGACCATCATAGTGTTCAAAAAAAATCCCACCGTAGTATAAAAGAATGACAGCATACGGAAGAAGTCCAGCCTATGGCCCAATCTATAGACATCTCTGCTAAGAGTTTGCTCGCCATTTCCACTGGCAACTTTTGCTTCAAACATGGATATTTGATTCAACCCAACATCCCTTCCTTTTCCAACTTGGATGTATTCGTGGTGAGTAATATTGCCTCCTCTCAAGGTGCAATTAAAGCCAGCAAATATGTCCTCACTAATGTTAATCACTCTGGAAGCCTTGCTGATTCCACCTCTAGTCATGAACCAAAACCTGTCAAAGACATCTGGATGGCCATAATGCATTCGAATTTTCAAAGGGTTTGCCAAAACACGCTGACCCAGGGTGACAAAACTAGTTTCCTGAGCAGACATAAACCATGCAAGAGATGAGACAGAACCAGTAAAAATGTGTTCCCTGACTCCCAAGATAGTAGGTTTACGAGCTCCATAGTAGTGCCTGTATTCTTCCAAAAGATTCCGCATTTTGAGAGCCTCTTCAAAATAGTTATCCTGGTTCATATCAATAGTCTGCACTGCATCCCCACGAGTGAAGATTAGGGCATGATTTTGATTCTCTGGTTTTCCCTCACCGAGTTTCAAGGGACCCGGCAACTTCACCCTGTAGATTTCCACTTCCTTGTCCAACTGCTGATCATACTTCACAAGTACAGAATAATATTCCATCTCATCCCTCCCAGTGTTTACTTCATCAACATAGGCAACTCGAAGGGCCTCATTATTTTTCATCAGATACAAGATTTCCTCAGCATGGGGATCCTTCTTTGCCTTTTGTGCCCCGTATATCTGGCAGGCAACCACATATGTGTATTTCATCAAAGCAGTCCCATATTCATGACCTTTAAACAACAAATTCACTGAACTACTATTTCTGCTCAAGCTCTTAGAAGGAGAACTTTCTGAGTCAAAGCTATCCAAACCATTGTCTCGCCTCATCGAGCCCAGTTCTCGTGAACCCTCTTTAATGTCCATCTCCGAGGCAGAATCAAGAAAAGCCAGCATCTTAAGAGCACGGTAATAATACATCATTCCCCTCACAGTACGGCCAAGTGTCTGGCCTCTATAAGATGCCCAGAGCCTAAGATCTCTCAACTTGGTTGTCCATATCTCACCATCCTTTTCCATTCCTTCACGGCGCATCCTCTGCATGAAGTTTTTCCACTCATCAGCATAAATAGTTTGCAGGTAGTACAGTATGGAAACCCCATCTTCATTTTCAGTTCGAAGCTGTTCTCTGCTGTACAGCACCTCCTCATTGTAATAAGGGGTCAGCACACTAAAAGCCATCATTTTCTCAACCTGGGGAGCGTGGGGCATGCTCATGAACAGGGAATTGCTGAAAAATGCAATTCTGCGCCTGGCCTCTAGATTTTCTGGGATAGTGTTCATCGAATCCCTAGAGGTAAGAATCATGTGCAAACGCCGTGCCTGCCTATAAAAGGTCTCATTACTAGCATCAGGCAACTGAACTGCATTCCCAAAAAGAAGCCCAGCCATGGCAGCTGGGTCACGAGGAGCCAACCCGTCCTCCATCAACTGTTCAGTGTTCTTCTTGTCTCTGAAAAATTCTCGTACAGCAATCTCATATAGAGCCTGTAGAGTATCTACCACCTGGTTCAGATCCCGCTTAGGCTTGTTCAACAGCTCAAGAAGCTTTATCAACTTGGCATGGAAATTAGGCAGAGCTGTCATCTTGAAAGTCTTGGTGAATTTCTCAATCTGCAGAGAGTGATCAATTTCTTGAAACAAAACCGTGATAATTGAGTGCTCTTCTGTGTTGGTCTTGATGATTTCAAGTAACAGGTGCTTGACACTATCATAAGCTTCTATGACCGCACAGCGCCTATACTCGTTCTTGCATATCTTGTACCAGAGCCACTTATCAGGAGCATCTACCAACTCTTTGGCCTGGCTAAGAGCAAGCAGCAGCTCATTGCACAGGAGAAAACTTGGCCAGCGAATCACCCTCACATTCCAAGAATTCTGTGGCAACTCCATCAACTCAAGCTCCTTGTCAGAGATAATATCCTCCTCCCTGAAAATTATTATGATCTCATTCCATATCAAAGCAAACTTGTTTGCCTCAACCTGGTTAGACTCCAGCTTCTTGTAAGGGTGGCCAAACCCATACCTAAGCTTCAACCTGTGAATGGCATCTTTGAACTTGCTCTTGAACGTACCCCTTGCATTCAACAGCTGCTCCTCTGGCATCAGATTAAACTGAATTGCACTTGCAAAGAACTGAAATCTCAATCTTAATTGCTGGATGTTTCGAATCTCACCCAAATGTTGAAACAACCCCACTCCTGCTCCAACAAAAGAGGAATAAATGGCATACCAAATCTGCAAGTCCATCAAGTAAATCAACACCACAGGAAGCCACAGCAATCCAACCGAAAACCTATTGCTGTGGTCAAAAAACTCGTGCCATTCATAATTCACATCCTTCAGCTTCAGCATCTGTTTTGATGGTTTAACCATGGGTTTAATCTGCATAAAGTAACTGAAAGCAAATTTGGTAGCTAAAACCATAGCCCAAAACAAAGTATATTTAATATTATCCACAAGCCCCTCCCTCAACCCTCTACCAATAAAACTACTACTCTGAAACCACCATGTCATCATCCGAAATATCCTCCAATCCGTATTCTCAAGAAAATTCCTAATCCAAGGAAGAATAAACAGAGCCAATGCCAACATCTCTGGCGCCACAAACACCAAAGCAACCTCAAGAAAAGTCACTACCTTCCTATTAGCCTCCGGTGACCAACTCAGATCCCTGGGCGACCTCCTCAGATCACTGTTCCTCTGGCTCCAAATCCTCCCATAAAATGCACCAAACACAATAATCCACCCTACTGCAACCACACTTTTCAAAATCATCCTAACCCCAAGCCCCAAAGTCTCCCTCGAAACCAAATTATACTGTGTCCCGACATCAAGCAATGACTGCAAGAACCTCAACCCACTCCAAGTAAAAAAAACAGTCAACACCCTAACCTGCACATCCCTGCTCTTCAACGCTTTCCACGGATACTCCTTCTCCTCCCACGCAACAATAATCCCCGCTTGCAAAAACAATATCAACATCACCCACAACCTATCAAAACTCCTTACAATATTCCAAAACGACCGTTGCTCCACAAAACCCGTCTTCCCCACCTTCTTCCTCGATCCCGAAGTCACAAAAAAATTACTCCCTAAATCAATCGGCCATTTCAGCCTCTCAAAACACCTCTTACTCCAAAAATACTCATTCAAATCATCATAATTCCGCCAAGCACTATGTGGGGCCGCCCCGTTAAAGCTCCTATCCACTTCCCTCCTCACCGTCTCATAAATTGGCTTCACAACACCATTCAAAAACGCATTCTCCCCTGAAATTGAAGGCATCACCGGCTGCCCTGTATTCTCATCAATATAATCCTCTAATACTCTATTCAATTCAAAACACATATTATGAAATATAAAGCAAATACACTCCGGCATAAACCGTAAATTCGCCGATTCCCCCCAAATTAACAAATACAACGAGACATAGAGTAACTCCCTTCTCAGATCCGTCGACCGGTCAGAGATCCAGATATTAGACTTCTTATTCAAGTAATCACACCAATTTGTATAATTCTTCAGCAGTTTCCGCCTGAACCGACGGAGTACACCGGCGTCCAGGGTATCAATGTTGTCCGGCGGAGGAGTCAGCCGCATCTGAGCGTTTGCAAGGTGAAGGACAAGGTGCTCCCGCTGGTTGCGAACGTTGTCCTTTTGGAAGCCGAAGAGCAGAGCAAGCCAGTCGAGGAGGTCCATTGAAGGGTGCCATTGAGCGTACGGTGGTTTGCGGAGGTTTCCGACGGTGCGTAAGGAGGCGGCGGCTGCTCGAACTTCGGGGTAGCGGAGGGAAGGGTGGTCGGCAAGGAGGTTCTGGATGGGGATTATGTTGTAGGGTTGGGATTCGGGTCGGGTCGGGTTAGGAGGGGGCGGGCGACGGAGAGACATGGCATTTGAGAGTGAGGATTGTGGCCGGGTTTGGAGGTGGTTTTTAGGCGCGTTTTGGGGTGGTGTTGGATTTTGCTAGAGAGATTTTTGAAATAGTTGTCCTTGCCAGAGTTTTTGAAATATTATGGATGGAATTTAAGGGGAGGACTAACTTGAATTTCTGTATAGATTACAAGGACTAGGTGATTCTTGAGGTGATCCTTGTGGCTTTGGGTCTGTATGGTGTTGTTTTCTTCCCTCCATTCATATTTATGTTTTATATGAACAAATTAATTTTTATCATCATTTCTTGATTTTAAATTCAAAATCATAAATTATGGGGGAAATTAAAGGTATGTTTATTTTTGTATTTTAAAAATATTTTTAAAAAAATTTAATTTTTATGAGTATGTGTATTAATACTTGATAGGAGAAAAATAAATATACCGTATAAAGAAAATTAAAAGTATTTTTATCAATTTTAATAAAATAAAATATGATTTTTTTATTTATCTCGGTGAATAAATAGGTATAAATAATAACAGCATGAACACAATAAAAAATTTCATGTTTCAGGGATACGTATTAAGAAACTCACTTATATAATCAGTTTAATTATTTTTTTTGTTTGGTTGAAATCTTAATTCTAAATTCAATGAATACAGAAATTAAACCATTCCATTTATACCAATTATTTGCTTAATTACGGGTCAACTTACCGTGATGAAGAAGATTATTTTCTGTGACATGCATGCGTCATTCTTGTGTTTATTCTTGTGTTTAAAAATTAATTTTTTATTTTAAAGTAATTTATTTATAATTTTAAATAATTTCTATAAAAAATATATTATTTGATGTATTTATAAGTAAAAATAATATAAAAAATACTCATTATCTTAATTAAAAGTTTGTTTAATATTACAATAATAATTATTTTAAAAAAATTACATCGAATACAACGATCTGAAAATATTAAAAAATTTAAAATAAGATAAAGCTAAGTCAAATTAAAAAAAAAAAATCAAATCTTTTCAAAACATACTCTGGTAAATATATGAATATTCAAAAAAATAAATAAATAAATTAGAGAGAATTAAATCCCACTTGCAAGAGACAGCGGAGGGGTGTAAAAGGGGAGAACCTTTTCTTATCATGAATGAGTATGGTTGTGGATCTGCCCTCTTCGCTGCATTGTCGTGAAAGAGACTAATTCAAGAAATACAAGGGGGTGAGAAAAGGCACTATGAACTAACTAACAAAGTTGAAAACCAATCCATTGATGGCGACATTTTCTAATTCTAGTAGCTAATTCAAATCATGCTATTATTCTGGGAAGCTAAACAAATAAAATAAAATTTTATTTTTTAAAAATATTAAAAAAAAATTAAGTGTTAAAAATATAGTTGCGATTATTTTTTTCAATCAAAAATGGGTGAAATCTTAATTCTAAATTCAATGAATATAGAAATTAAACCATTCCATTTATACCAGTTATTTGCTTAATTACGTGTCAAGTTACCGTGATGAAGAAGATTATTTTCTGTGACATGCATGCGTCATTCTTGTGTTTATTTCTGTGTTTAAAAATTAATATTTTATTTTAAAGTAATTTATTTATATTTTTAAATAGTTTCTATAAAAAAATATATTATTTGATATGTTTATAAATAAAAATAATTTAAAAAACAATCACTATCTTAATTAAAAGTTTATTTAATATTACAATAATATTTATTTTTAAAAAAATTACATCGAATATAACGATTTAAAAATATTAAAAAATTTAAAATAATATAAAACAAAGCCAAAATTTTTAAAAAATCAAATCTTTCCTATAAATATTCAAAATAAATAAATAAATTAGAGAGAATTAAATCCCACTTGCAAGAGACAGTGGAGGGGTGGAAAAGGGGAAGAGCCTTTTTCTTCTCATGAATGAGTATGGTTTTGGATCTGCCCTTTTCGCTGCATTGTCGTGAAAGAGACTAATTCAAGAAATACAAGGGGGAGAGAAAAGGCACTGTGTGAACTATCTAACAAAGTTGAAAACCAATCCATTGATGGCGACATTTTCTAATTCTAGTAGCTAATTCAAATCATGCTATTATTCTGGGAAGCTAAACAAATAAAATAAAATTTTATTTTTTAAAAATATTAAAAAAAAATTAAGTGTTAAAAATATAGTTGCGATTATTTTTTTCAATCAAAAAAGTATATTAATATTTTTTTTATTTTTAAAAAATTATTTTTGAAATTAGCAATTAATTTAAAAAAATTTAAATTTTTTCAGAAATATTTTTCAAAAGCAATTCCAAGCGTCCACTAAAAGATAATCTGCTTGTTTGGGAATTACTATCTTTTATTTTTTTATTATAATTATATTTTTCTGATTTAAAATTGCGGTTTAAATAAATAATGGTTAAAATCTAATAGTTTTATTTAAAATTATTTTTTATTTATAAATTATTTTAATGTTAAAAATAAATTTTAAAAAATATATATAAAAATATTATTATAATATATTTTTAATAAAATAATATTTTAAAAAATAATTATTACCCTACGACTTTGATTAACTATATAAATTACATAATTTTTAACATTTTTATGTTAGTTTTTCAAATGAAATAGAAAATTCTGTTTTTTTATAAATATAAAAATCTCTGACGTTTCTCTTTTGTCGTTTTAAAGGTTTTAATATTTTTTCTTTTAAGAAAAAACCCTTCCTTCGTGGCAAAAGGGAGAAGTAATCTTCTTTGGAGGCTTCTCCCATCCATCCAAAGCCACCAAACGGACCCACACTCCACGCTTCCATTTTTTAATATTTTATTATGGCCACCGATCAGATCGAGGAACTTTCTTCCAGTCAGTGTCTCTGACTGTGACCGTTGGATGGATAAAAGTAAAAAAAACGCCGGTTTTTTTTTAAATTTAAAACAAAAGTTTTCGAAACGCGGTTACGACTTAGTGGACCCTCTAGATATTTCCACGTCGTCGTCATGTGGGTCCTCAATATGATGACATGATGGATGGTTGAGATTTCATGGGTTTCACACTGATGATTCCGATGAAAGTTCATCTTTCACATGGCAAGCGGGTGTCGTGGAATACAAAGGCAAACCTTAGTTATATATTCAAAGTATTTTTAATAATTGGAGCATAATTAAATTATTTGACTACACGTTATGTGATTCACAGATATTAAAATATAAAATCCCAAATTTATCCCCCAAAAAAGATATTAATTACTGTTCTTTTACATGTATTTCTCTTGCATACAAGGAATTTCCTTTTATTTCATCATTCGAAGAGAATCATTGAAGAACATAAATAATTAATAGTTTTATTAGTATATTTAAGGGTACAATTGCTCAAAATATGCTTTAGATGTATAATTAAGATCATCCTAATAGTTTGGTGATAATTTAAAATTCATCCTTAAACAATTTAAAAATAAAAAGTTGTCTTGAAAAAAAATCACAAATAAGTAATTTTAAATTTATTATTTATCAAGAATTATTATGATCATTATAATATCTATATTTTTTTTGTTTTTATATACATCTCAAGAGTGTATTTCACTTGGAAAATATAAAATTAATTTTTTTATAATTTTTTTAAATAATTTTGATATATTAATGTAAAAAAATAAAAATATTTTTAAAATATACAGTGTATCACGATACTAAATACAATCTAGATGTAAATAAATATAGTGATCATTGATGCCGAGCCAAAATAATATTTTAAAAAATAATTATTACCCTACGACTTTGATTAACTATATAAATTACATAATTTTTAACATTTTTATGTTAGTTTTTCAAATGAAATAGAAAATTCTGTTTTTTTATAAATATAAAAATCTCTGACGTTTCTCTTTTGTCGTTTTAAAGGTTTTAATATTTTTTCTTTTAAGAAAAAACCCTTCCTTCGTGGCAAAAGGGAGAAGTAATCTTCTTTGGAGGCTTCTCCCATCCATCCAAAGCCACCAAACGGACCCACACTCCACGCTTCCATTTTTTAATATTTTATTACGGCCACCGATCAGATCTAGGAACTCTCTTCCAGTCAGTGTCTCTGACTCTGACCGTTGGATGGATAAAAGTCAAAAAAACGCCGGTTTTTTTAAATTCAAACAAAAGTTTTCGAAACGCGGTTACGACTTAGTGGACCCTCTAGATATTTCCACGTCGTCGTCATGTGGGTCCTCAATATGATGACATGATGGATGGTTGAGATTTCATGGGTTTCACACTGATGATTCCGATGAAAGTTCATCTTTCACATGGCAAGCGGGTGTCGTGGAATACAAAGGCAAACCTTAGTTATATATTCAAAGTATTTTTAATAATTGGAGCATAATTAAATTATTTGACTACACGTTATGTGATTCACAGATATTAAAATATAAAATCCCAAATTTATCCCCCAAAAAAGATATTAATTACTGTTCTTTTACATGTATTTCTCTTGCATACAAGGAATTTCCTTTTATTTCATCATTCGAAGAGAATCATTGAAGAACATAAATAATTAATAGTTTTATTAGTATATTTAAGGGTACAATTGCTCAAAATATGCTTTAGATGTATAATTAAGATCATCCTAATAGTTTGGTGATAATTTAAAATTCATCCTTAAACAATTTAAAAATAAAAAGTTGTCTTGAAAAAAAATCACAAATCAATAGTTTTAAATTTATTATTTATTAAGAATTACTATGATTATTATAATATCTATTTTTTTTTTGCATAAATAAATCTTTATATGAAGAATATAATAGCTTTTGCTTTTATATACATCTCAATAGTATGTTTCACTTGAAAAAATATAAAATTATTTTTTATATATAGTTTTTTCAATAATTTTGATATATTAATATAAAAAATAATTTAAAAATATTTTTAAAATACAGTGTATCACAATACTAAATACAATTTAGCTGTAAATAAATCTAGTGATCATTGATGCCGAGCTACAATGCTAAAAACAATCTAAATGTAAATTAATAAATCTAATGATCATTGATGCTGAGAAAAGCTAGATTACATGAAGAAATTATCATGAATATTAATGATATATATAAACACACACTAAACACAATTTAGATGTAAATCCAAACCACAATATTAAATATAATCTAGATGTAAATAAATCTGGTGTTTATCGATGCCGAGAAAGGTTAGATTCCATGTTTATAGATGTGAGGATAAAGCAGAGGAGGGGCTTGATGGGGCACAAAGCAATGATGCTCAGCACAAGAACAGGAGTATTGTTCTTTGAATAAATAACTTGTTAAAAACACAAAGTGATGCCCTCAAGTCAAGAAATGGCATGGAAAGTCGACATGAAAAGATGCATAGAATCATGAATTTAACTTTAATTCAAAGCATAAAGATGAACATGGCCTCACATGTTCTCCACAAATTTTCAGCTGAGATCCTCTTCTGTGACTCTCTCGATGCCTATCCACCCCATAGTCTAGCTGGAGTTCAGATTCCAGGAGAGTAATTTACTCTAAGTATATCAATCCAACATGAACTGAATTCTTTAAAGTTTGTTTGGTAGTATCTGGTTATTTTTTAATAAGAAATTTATATTGAAATATATTAAAATATTTTTTTTATTTTTAAAAAATTATTTTTAAGATGAGCATATTAAAATTACCTAAAATATAAAAAAAATTAATTTTTTAAAAATACAATTTACACGTATTCCAAACATTTTTTCCTTACATGAAAGCTTTTATATATATATTGGAATATCTAATGAATTTTTAACAACAATCCCTTTTCATTACAGAATAATTAAATAAATTAAAATACACTAAAGCCGGAATCCACTTTACTAGAAGAAATTACTAAATATATATTCTTTAATTAGAGTGTTTACTTCTGTTTTTAAATGCATTTTAAAATTATATTTCACTCTCAAAACATTAAATTAATGTTTTTTTATATTAAAAATAAATTTTTATGTAAATTTTTTTAAAAAAATTTACTACCACAACACTCTTCCTCGATCTCCTGAAGGTAGTAGCTTCACCTACCCAACAGCCGTGGTCTGCCTCCGGGAGTCAGTCACCATTACAAGATGGTCGGCTGAAGATAGCCAGAATTGGATGGCCAACTTTCCTAATCAAGCACCGAAACTTAGATCAACAACTCCCACTTCCTCCGAGACACAAGCCCACAAATATTTTCATATAAATTGTATATTCACTTCCCCAAAAGAGCAAACACAGAGATGGATAAGTTGTTGTCATGCTTTCTTGGGATTTCATCGCTAATGATGTTCGTGTTGCTGCAAGATGGAAATGCCCAAGACACCTCGTGCCTAAACCAGCTCGTTCCTTGCCTCAGTTACCTTAATGGAACAAGAGATGTGCCAGATACTTGTTGTGATCCTCTCAAAACTGTGATCAAATCAAACCCAAAATGTTTGTGTAACTTGGCGAGCAATCAAGGCAGTAATCAAGCTGAGCAAGCTGGGATCAATGTGACTGAGGCCCAAGAATTGCCTGGAAGGTGTGGACTGCATGTCAATCCACTCTCCTGCCTTACTGGTGTGCATTCCATTCCACTCCGTTCATTTTGTTCTTACTGAATTAAATATTTCATGCTAATCGATGATTCAATGTCAATGTGTATCAGGCAAAAATAATTCTCCCAATTCCAAGAACTCAGTTGATGATTCTGCAAGCATTTTCTTGTTGCCTTCTTGGAGCTTGATTGTGGCCACAACTCTGTCCTTCACTTCTCAGTTTTTGTGATCCCAGACAACAGAATACATACTTCAGTTCTGAGTGTTCAAGGAAAGGAAATGTTCAAGCAGAGAGTTCAGTTTTAACATGGAGCTCTTGACTTCTTTCATACACACACACACACACACACACATATATATATATATATAATTTACTTCTTATAATTTACACATTTTTCAGTTTTGAAGAAATGATAAACCCCTGTTTAATTCTTCTTCTTCTTTTTTGAATAGCCCTGAACAGATCTCAAAGCATTCTTTTATAGTATTCAATGTGAGAAACCATATAGTCCAAGGTTTAAAATTCAGAACTCATCTATAACAAAGCGAGTTCTTTAAACCCTAATTCCTTCTAGCGATTAGACCTCCATTTTAACAAACTGGAAGTTAAAAACTGTTAACTATCCTATTGCCATTGCTGCAAGATGGCTAAATTAAGATTGGTGACTTGGTAAACAAGTTGTTTTACTCGAGATCCTTCATGAAAAGAAAAGAAAAGAAAAATTGAGCCCACTTGAGTTATGAGCTTCCATTAGGGGAGGAGGAAGAAAATAGGGAAAATCTTAGTGGCAATTTAAAAAATGGTAAGCCAAGTGGGTTTGAGTAGAAAACACTAAAACACAAAGCCGATCTATTTATATATTGTATGGATTGACTTGATATCATGCTCGATTTGATAACCTGCTTTAAAACCCTAATTATCTACACATCAGCAATCAGCTTCAAGATGGGTTCAAATCAAATCATTTTACGAAACCGACAAAACTTTGATTGCGCCATGTTAGAAAGGGTTTAGCTTTGAAATGCTCCATTTAACCATTTCAATAATTAAGTTCACATGGGATGCGACTGGATTTTGGTGTCCATTCATTGAAGGAGGAGTTTTTCAATAGAATAATTTCTCAGCAACCATGCCTCGTCAACTTTGTTTCAATTTTTAATAAAAGCTCAAATAATGCTGTTTTGAACAATTCTTTTTTTGGTAAAAAATGAACTATGTAACTTTTAGTGAGTTTTTTTTAAAAAAAATATTGAAATTAATTTGATTGAATCTCACTCGAGTTTAACCATACCCATTAGATCATGATCATGATTTAATTTGATTGAATCTCACTCAAATAATGCTGTTTTGAACAATTCTTTTTTTGGTAAAAAATGAACTATGTAACTTTTAGTGAGTTTTTTTTAAAAAAAATATTGAAATTAATTTGATTGAATCTCACTCTTGGTAAAAAATAAACTTTGTAACTTTTAGGGAGTTTTTGGTAAAAAATAAACTTTGTAACTTTTAGTGAGTTTTTTTTTTTAAATATTGAAATTAATTTGATTGAATCTCACTCGAGTTTAACCATACCCATTAGATCATGATTTAACTTGCTAAATTATTCAAATTTGATTAAGTTAATTTAAAAAAACCGACCTCGGTCAATGAATCATCATCCGCAAAGCCAAACGCACTGATAAGCATGCTTAAAGTCATGCTCGAAATGATAGAGGAGATATCAAAGTCCGATACTAACACCCAGGACGCGAGGGATTGTGGATCTGTCACGTTGAAAACTCTTTCTGGACATTCGATCCCACTTGCCCCAACCTATTAAATCCATTTGCATCTTTAAACTAGAACAGCTGGAGAACGAATTCATCAAGTTGAAACATAATTGGATTTTTTTACCATGCGCAACTTGAACGGGGCCTGACTTGGGGCATCAGACATCTTTTTGCAATTTTTTGGGTCACAGATGACTAATTATTTCAATATTTGTCAGTTAAAGACAGAAAGCGTCCATTAAAGGAAGTTCGACGTATGTCATATAAAACCAGGGAGAAAAAAGAGTCAAGCAACAGAAAAGAAGAAGCATCTAACCCCTTAATCAAGGGAAGAGAAAAGAGGAGAGATTTGAAAGAAACTAGAAACGGAGTGAAAGGATTCGTGCTAAGAAACCCAAATTACTCGTAGGTTCATGATAGTTAAAAGGCTCACAGTGAAATTGGATCTCCCTTACTAAAAACCAGAGGGAAAGGTCCAACACCCATGCAATAAGAACTGCTAACATATAAAATCATAGATACATGAAGACTCAATAACCATATACACAGTACTGGAGAACACCGTGCATTGTAACTGCCTTTATTCAATTGAAGACAAGCATAACTGTCACTGCAATTATGGTTTCGAACATGGATTAGTGGTGGCTTCAACCAGACCACCCAGATGAAGGCACTTTCAACCTATCCAGCACAGAATTAAAATCCACAGGCTCACCAACCTCCTCCATCCTCTGAATCACGCTGACAACATGATCACCTCGGAAACCCATGTTTACCAATTTCTCAATCAAGTCGTTATAGAAATTGTTACGAGCAAAGTGTGAAGGGCTTGAATGGCGGGGCAGCATACCTGCACCTGCAGCTGGCTGAGGAGGGTATACACCCTGTGGGAAGTGAGGTTGTTGAGATGCATGGTGTGTTCTCCCAGTTTCACCATCATAGATCATGTATGCACTTACTGGGGGCAGGCCTGGATGAGGTCCAGCAGTTGCATATACATCACTGGGTTGTGCTCCAAAATTGCCCTTAATTTGCTGAGGTGGAGGTTGCTGTGGAACTGCTGCTCTTCCAGCTCCATATCCATATGGCACTGTGTCAGCACGACTGGACATGGGTTGAGGTACACCTGAATACGAAACTTGCATGGGCATGCTGTTAGGTAGAGTCTCTGGTGGAGAGGGATTTGTTGGCTGACCAGCTGGAGGGTAGGGAGTGTAAACTGTGGTGGATGGAGGCTTGATCTGGGGCTGCATGGAGGGCTGTTGAGGTGGTTGTAGTTGCAAATGTAACTGCTGGGGCCACTGCTGCTGGTACTGAGGAAATTGTTGGCCTTGTGGTGTCTGGTTTACTTGTGGTTGTGCTGGTGCCACCCTAGAGACATCTTGCATTTGGGGTGTTCGGTACTGAGGATCAGAAGTTAGATACTGGTTCTGAGGGTGCTGGGTTGGAGCTGCTGGAGTTGGTAAAGGGGCAGGAGACAAATAATAAGATTGTTGTTGTGCCACATTCTGAGGTGGGGCTTGAGAGAGTGGAGGCACAGGTGGGGCCTGTTGCTGTGGTGCTACTTGGTGGGGCAGAGCAAGAGCCAATTGCTGGTTACGTATTTCAGATGTATTGTCAGTTGTTTTGGGATCAGAGGCAGCTGGTGCAACTTTTTCCTCGCTAGATTGGGAATGGCTTGATGAAGAGGGTTCCTTCTGTGCAAGCTGAAGCTTGTATAATTCTTTCTGAGTCTCAGCGAGTTCTTGCTTGTCCCTCAGAATCTGGACAGACCTGTGCACCTGCAGCAAACACCATAAAACAAGCCATACTCTAGTATCATACGACCAGAAAAAAAGATGAAATACTTGAAGATCAAGATATGTTGTCAGCAAAAAAAAAAGTGATAAACTTATTAGTAATTGCATTTTAATAGTTCAATAGTTCAAAAACGAAGCAGGATTGCCTTCCCACAGAAATCCATAATTCTTTTCTGCTCGGGCTCCAGAAAGTACAATCCAAAAACAAATAATTACCCTAATATTACATTATTACTAATTTCACATTATTACTAATATCACTCATATGCATTTATTTAGCCTCCCTAAATTTATCAAAGTACTACTATCACTCAAATAAGCATTTAGCCAGTCAGGATGTTTTATTCAACAAAAAGGTTGGAAACCTGTTAACCACACACACTCTCATATGTCATCCAAGGACCAAGGGAAATAAGCAACGGTAAAAAACAGTTCCTTTGGACAAAATTAATAGTTAGTAAACCATGATATTAAAAATACTGATAAAAAGCAATCTAATCACCTCTTGAATGTGCTTCTCGAGAGATTTAAGTTTTAAATCTGCCTCCTCATTGTCATGAACAAAATCTGATCGCATTTCTCCAATTGATTTATCAAGGTTGTAGCAACACAATTCCAACTGGGACAGCCGTGAACTGATACCCTCAAGAAAACGCATGATGTTGTCAGTTTGTTTTTTCATGCTTTTCTCAACAATAGAGACCACATCTTGAGTGAAAGAATCCTCTGGCTGGCTATAGGAAGTAGCAGGAAACATTGATGACCTTGTCATTCTACTTTTGTGAAAATCCTGCTTGAAGTAGAAAATTGCATTTCCTCATATAAGTGAAGGTGATAATAATTCTGCTCATACTGAACAGCTATAAAAAATGCATTCCAGGTTAAGAATTCAAGTTGAGTAGAAAGTAAAAAACTACTGAAAAGATCTAAGAAAAATGATCTGAATTGGATCTTTCAATTCTCAAACTAGGACTTCTCAAAGCATGTACACAGGAAATATAAATTGGGTGCCTTCTTAGTAAACAAAGTACCAAAAGAAAAAAGAAAAAAAAAAAAAGAACAGCTATCTAGTGGCAAGTAGTTCTGTGGTGTGCAAACAAGCTTTTCAGCAAAACTTTTAAAGTGCAGCCAGTTATCATCACCAGTTCACCACAATATTTAAATTTGCAGAAAAAAGAGCTGTAAGATCTAAATAGTTCAAGTGATGGTAAATTCAGCTTCAGTGGACTACATTAAATGCTTTGCTTTCCAAATGGCACTTGTCTTTTATCCAACTCTACCAGCAATGCGGAGCTCAATGATCGTTTGTAATGGCACTTCTTTGTTATCCAAATTTGATATTTTGAAGTAATGAATTGCCAAGTAAGCACAATCAAACGTCCCTACTCTTTTTCTCGCCAAGTAAGCACAATCAAACGTCCCTACTTTTTTTCTCATGATTTTTTTGCATTTAAAAAGCAGTCAGACTGACATGTCATCCCAAAACACATTTTTTTCCTCCAAAGAAACGTTAAGATGTTTTGAGATATCAGGATCTCTTTGCACTCACCAAGCATTGCAATCAAGCAAGCATGAGACTATGAGGCCCAAAACTTCTCTCATTTCCTACTAAAAACTCACACATCATCCTATTCCATCAAAACCTCAACAAGTTATCTTAAGAAATGATAAAATCAATGAAATTTAACCAAAACTCGATCGACTTTCATATTCTAATTTGAAACACAAGGAAAACCAAATTCAAACAAACCCAAAAGGCCTAC